ACTACATGGTTCAAAATTAGGAAAGGTATGCATCAGGGTTGTAGCCTTTCACCATACTTATTCAATCTATATGCTGAGCAAATAATCCAAGAAGCGGGATTATATGAAGAAGAGTGTAGTATCAGGATTGGAGGACAACTCATTAACATCCTGTGATATGCAGATGACACAACCTTGCTTGCTGAACACGAAGAGGACTTGGAGCACTGTTAAGGTGAAAGACTACAGCCTTCAATATGGATTACACCTCAACATAAAGAAAACAAAAATCCCCCCTACTGGTTCAGTAAGCAACATCATGATAAACGGAGGAAAGACTGAAGTTGTCAAGGATTTCATTTTACTTGGATCCACAATCAAATACAAATTGTGGATACACATTTTTCCACAATTTCATTTTACTTCCATCCACTGATGGAAGCATCAGTCAAGAAATCAAATGACATACTGCATAGGCAAACCTGCTGCAAAAGACCTCTTTAAAGTGTTCAAAAGCAAAGATGTCACCTTGAAGACTAAGGTGCGCTTGACCCAAGCCATGATATTTTCAATTGCCTCATACGCAGGTGAAAGCTGGACAATGAATAAGGAAGACCGAAGAAGAACTGATGCCTCTGAATTATGGTGTTGGCAAAGAATACTGAATGTATCACAGACTGCCAAAAAAAACAAATAAACCTGTCTTGGAAGAAGTACAGCCAGAATGCTCCTTAGCAGCAAGGATAGCAACACTTTGTCTCACATACTTTGGACACGTTATCACGAGGGATCAATCCCTGGAGAAGGACTTCATGCTTGGTAAAGTAGAGGGTCAGGGAAAAAGAGGAAGACCCTCAATGAGATGGACTGATACAGTGGCTACAACAATGAGCTCAAACATGGCAATGACTGTGAGAGGATGGCACAGGACCAGACAGCGTTTCATTCTGTTCTTCACAGGATCGCTGTGAGCTGGAAGTGACTCGATGGCACCTAATAACAGGGATGTTAAAAAAAATCACCAAAAAGGTGGGGAGAGAGGACACTCAGGAACTGCTTAACTTGGTATTCTCAAAGTACATACACATCATCACATTATTCTGGCACTAGTGTATGGAACCTGTAGAGGGTCAGTGAAAAAGAGGAAGATGGATTGACACAGTGGCTGCAACAACGGGCCCAAGCATAAGAACAACTGTGAGGATGGTGCAGGACAGGGCAGTGTTTCGTCCTCTTGTACATAGGGTCGCTATAAGTTGGAACTGACTCAATGGCACCTAACGACAATGGTGTATGGAACCTAGCACAATGTTTGAAACACAACTAACCTATCCATTTTGGTTTGTAGCAGAATTATATCCCTCCGCATCAAGTCTGTAGGCATCATACCCTGAGACTGCGAACATAATTTTTTTATATTTCAAATCAATAACAACATCAGTTAAGCACTTGCAAAGCATGTACTCTCTAGCAAATCCTAATACAAATGTTTTACGTGAATTTTATTACTAGACACTATTATCTCCCAATTTCCAAGTGAGGAAACTCAGGCTACAGAAGTGTATGGATCATAACAAATTATTATGATCCATAGTGAAGTTACTTGCTAAGGTCTTACCAAAGATATTAAGTAGCAGAGTCAGACAGCATTTTAGCTTTGATTTTTTTTTAAAGCAACCAGTTATTCTCAGTAACACACAAATTAGAAATAAAGTCTGCTTTATATAGATTAAATTGGAATACTTATATATAGAATACATGAAAGCATCTATGACATTCTCAAACAGTTTGTAAACAGAGCTACTGAAGTGGAAAGAGAGTTAGAAATACAAGAGGCAGGGTTAGTACAGTGTACCACATAGCCCAATTCCTCATTTGATTAAATTTGAACTGTTAAATCTGCATAGACGAGAGGCCAAGTGATTTGCCAAAATCATGTAGATCCAGCTAGGGACAGAACTGCTACCAGAAGTCTGATTCCTAGTCCAGTGTTTTCTCTTTCTCCACTACAGTCACTGCCTTTACTTGTATACTGCATATCACTTTTAAAATAAGTATAACATAAAATATATGCATAATATCACAAGTAATATCAATTTTGACATCATTATTTGCTTGGTGTTAATGAAAGGAATTATAGCTTAGCCTCTGAGATGCCTGAAGCAGGGACTGTGCTTTTAAATTTGTCCCCTTAAACAACATTAGGATGGAAATACTATATCCATGTTTTCAGGTTCATGATCAAAGAAACAATCGACGCTAATTGTACCAGTAATTTTTCTATCAAATTCTGGTATGTGTTACATACTATAATTCATATGTAATAGGTGGTACTTTCCAATAGATATGAAGGCATAACAAAATTAAATGATTAAATCAAATATTTTTCTGTAGCTTTAATGGCATACCTCTTCTGTTTTCAACTGGTTCCCTCCTTTCCACCCAACCATCTTAACTCCAAGTCCTGTGGCCCATCACCTACTATAAAACCTTGGGCAAGTAAGTTACTTAACCTCTCAGTGATTCAATTTCCTCATCTGCAAAAGAGGGATAGTTAAGGACCCTCTTAAATGTTGAAAGGTTAAATGACATAATTCTTAAATGACATATTCTAAAGTATTTACAACATTGCCTGACAGATAATAATCTCTCAGTACAAATTAGCTGTTATTATTGCCGTGGTGATTGCCTCTCTAATCCATCTCTGCTTCCTTTCAAACACATGGAAAATACACAAAGAACCAAATAACTCTAGCATTGCTTTCCGAAGCATAAATCAATCTGCTTGCCCTTGAGTGAAGCGATGGCTCAATCTCAAGTGGCTTGTCCCCAAGAACTCTTCCATGAACATGTACTAAGAGCGTCTCTTTCCACTCTGATGTCACAGTGGAATTTGACATGACCTTAAGAGCTGAGTACATCTAAATGTGTTTTTTCAATGAATAATAATACCTACCATATTATTTGAATGTTTTCTATTAACTGCTATTCATGTTCATGTTTGAGTATAAGAATTTCAAATCTTGGGGTATATTATTTTTAAATATTCAGTTCATATTCAGTTCACATTAAAATAGTGGCCAGAGAAACTGTTTCTCTGGCTTTGGAGCAAAATAGGTTTGGATTCAAAACATGGCTCAACCATATACCAGCTATGTGATCTAAAGTAAATTACTTAAATTCTCTAAGCCTCAGTTTCATCATTTGTAAAATGATGAAAGTACCTCCATATCACAGAATTATCGTATGAAATAAATGAAATCATGTATCACTTAGCAATGACCAACACATAATAAATGTTTAATAAATGACAGCTATCATTAATACTATCACCAAAAGATACAGGTAATAAAGACAATGGCTTCTTATATGAAACACATTTCTTTCTAACTTCTTATAAGAAAGCACCTATTTCATAATTTAAAAACTGAGAAGTAAAATTACAATTTATATTTTAACTGAAATTGCATTGCTCTCATTTTCTCTACTATAAAACATAAAGCAAAATACTCTGAAGAGTCCTCCATTAAAATAAACTTGTAGGCCTTTGGAGAAGACAGCAAAGAAAGCTTAGTTTTATGTTTAATTTATCAAGTTCCAAGCTTAAGTAGAAAATATTCAATCACCATCAACAGTACCTCCACAACATATTGTACTATTCAATTTAAGATTAAAGGTGATTTGTCGTAGAACTCTAACTTTTAAATGCCCTCATTGAAAAGGCACAATTCTGAACTATCCCTAACCACCATTTACTGCCCAAAAATAAAATGTAAAGTACCCCATAAAAGCACTGTTATATGATGATTAAGTTCTTGCTTTCATGTTAAGTCAAATTTCACTCTGAATACTAGCAAAAAAGGACAATTTGATTAAGAAGATTTCTATTTGAAATCAAATCTGTTCTTACATTCACTTACAAGTTAATAATATATCAACACTATATAAGTTTATTAACAGCATTACTGGGCTGATCTCAACAGATGACAGGGAATCTTCAAATTCTAATTTTAAATACACCACTCTTGTTTAAGAAAACAGTGTTCAAAACAACTTGGGCCTCCAAAAAAGAAACTACAGGGGTTGCTGAGGACAAGAGATTAGCACTCCCTGCCAGCTTGAACACACGCCTGAAACTGCTGTTGAATAGGGTCAGTGTTGTCTATGGTAACACCCAGGCCACACAGAAAGGAGAAATAACAGTAGACACTAGGAACCAAAGACAGTCAAACAACAGTGAGTCACAGGTCTTAGTACCATCAGGACACCGTCAGCAAAACTGAGTTCACCAATCCCAACTCTCTTAACCCCCACACACAATATTAAAGAATTAGAACTACTGACGTAGTTTATTTTTGCTCTTCTCCTTTTGCCACGCCTGACTATGACACCTACACATCCTTGCCCTTCCCTCCGCCCCTCACACTGACAACTGTTCCTCAAATAAGGACAATGGTTGTAGAAAGGCTTCTCTCTAAATAGCACATAATCCACGCCCACACACCGAAGCCGAGCAGCATGACACTGACAGTTTTCAGTCCCTCCAGTTCTTTCCAATTTGTGGCGCCTCCGTACAACTCAGAAAAAGAAGAGGTGAGCAGAACACTCAATTCGATTATTTGGCATAGGATCTGCTAGTTTGGAACCTTCTGACCCTTCGCCTCGACCCGAATGGGCAAAACAGCCGATGCTCAGCCCAACCTAGTCACTTCCAGGAATCTCCGTGAACAGGGCTGGGGAAACCACCACCCAGCGGGGTAAAGAGGGTCTCCAGAGCTCCATAACCATCCTGCCATTGTGCTGGGAAATCAAGATGATGAGGCGGCGTGGTTGGGTCAGCACGGGCCACCGCGGAGTTTGAGTAGCCGCGGCCGCCGCAGAGATCTTAGGCCACTAGATGTGGGGCGGGGGCACCCGGGAAAGGCTTGCGGGTGAACTGGGAGCATATTTCCCAGGGGGAAAGCTCAGCATGCCTCCCCTCTGCCAAGCCCTCCCAATTGCCCTCATCTTGAGCACTCTACCTGCGAGAAGCGGGCAACGCCCGGCGCTGGAGTCTAGCCTGCCAGCCTTGGCCGCCACCGTGCAGCCTGCCTCGGGAGCAGGCAGCCGCCTCCACTGACAGAACGATGGGCCTGGCCAACTCCTTCCCATCAAACCCCGCGCTCCCGCCGCCCGCCAATCCACGCCATGGCCGGGACGCGCCGCTCCCCCGTCATGTGACTGGGGCCGGGGTGGGCAGTTGGGGCGGAGAGCCGAACGGTTGGGCTAGGGGGGTTTGTGGTTGCTTTGGCGGATGCAGGCGGCTCGTCGTCGCGTCTCAGAGGTGTACTGCAGTTTATTACGACTCTTTCTTATTCCTCCCCTGCCTTTTTCTGTTTTAAAGCCTGTAATGCCAAGTTTCACTGAAAAAAGAAAACACTGAAATCGGTCCTGGTGTGGGAAGGACAAAAGATGGGGAGTTGAGGGTGGCAATGGGTGCGTCTGGAAAGGTGTCCGTTTTGAAGAATCCTCGATCAGCTGTCAACCAGCGGGCAACAGATCAAGTTAATACTACACACATGTAAGAGACCAGTTCCCAAACAAGCCAGTGGAGAAAACTCGGCCTAGTCCCCACAAGCGTTTGAGGCTTTTATCACTCATGGACGTCAAAAAGGGTCATTTGATGACTGGGCGCTTACCTCACTGGTGTGTGGTAAGCTTCAAACGGCAATTGATGTTGATTTCAAACTTGCAGCTAACAACATAAGCTGTTTTCATTCTTAAAACTCTTACCTCAAAAATACTCCCTGAACTGGTACTGATACGTGAGCCAACGATAAACCACTGAGGGTATATTTGACTCAGATTTGAAACTTTGCCAAAAGAGTGTTCAATTTCGTAGTCAACTGGGAAAGACAAGTCTGAATAACAAATGATACTTGAATGAGAAAAAAAAAAAAAAAGAGATATGCGCAAGGTAAGGGAGAAGGGTAGAAACCTTCAGTGAAGGCTTTTTATTAAGTTGACCTATGACTTACATGTTTTACCCAGGTGCGTAAACATCTTTCATGGTTTTCTTCTGCTTTATTTAGTTGCATACACATTTTAAAATAAAAAGTTCCCATGATTTGTAAAGAGTATAATAGTTTCCGTATGCTACATTTAAACTTTGACAACGCAAACAGGCTAAGTAAAAAAATTGAGTTTAGTTATCTCGTTGGCAAGAATCTTTTATTATACTAGAAGCTACCAGATGACTCACCGTGGATTCGTTTGCTCTGAAAGCTAAGATCTTTAGTTGCAGCTCAGTAAACTAAAAAGCATGAAGAGAAGAGAACTAAAATTTACTTAGTGTGTACTGTGGGTCTGACACTTTACAAATGCAGAAGGAAACAAATATTTCACCTGTTTTGTTATGGAAGTTTAACCGTTTTGTTTTTCATCCTTTGCTATTTCAAACTATGCAAACACTTCTCACCTCAGGAAGATCTCCTTTCCTTAGAGAACCAGGAAGAATGGTTTTCTGCTTGCTAATGATTTGGCCTCGAGTTTTAATTGAGCCATCAAGGTCTATTGTAAAGGGGAAAAAAAATGGGAGGAGGAGGCAGAGAAGAGCTAGCTAGGTGCCAGAGGTTCCAAAACAACCTAATCCTGAGGCGTAATTCCCTACGGAATTACTTTAGGAAGTGGCAGAGTTTGGCTTGGCAAGGGGAGGTAGAGAAGTATTGAATCATTAACTCTTTTAATCTTCCCAACAACCTTTTAAAGCATCATTTTTCCAGTGAGGAAGCTGAAAAGTAGGAAGATTATGTACATTGTTGAAGGTAACACTATACCACTGCCTGTTTTATATAAATGAGGTTAAGAGTTTAAGGTATGAGTTTGTCAGACAAATAAGGTGAGGGAAGGACATTATAAGCAGAAGAATCAACATATACACTATATGGCTTGACTACTGGGTATAGAGTCATTCCAAATATTGAGGACCAGGCCCAGTGGTAAGTGCTCGAATAGAGAAAAATAATACAACTGCCTGGTGGTGTAGTGGTTAAGAGCTATGGCTGCTAACCAAAAGGTCAGCAGTTTGAATCCACCAGGTGCTCCTTGGAAGCCCTATGGATCAGTTAGTTGGTAATGGGTTTGGTTTTTGTTTTTCTTGTTTATTTGTTTTGTTTTTGTTTGTTTTTTTGGCCCTAAAACAGCTGACACTAGAGAGAGAAACATTCAGGAACACAAACAAAAAATACAATACAAGGTAAATAAGTTTTGTGATAGAGGCAAATGTTCAAAGTATCAGAAAATGATAAGGCAACAGCATCCTGGGGGGCAGGGGGAGCCATTGAAGGTAGTGCTTTAGCTGAGTCCAAATAATGAGTTATTCCCTGCTAATCCTAAAATTGTTCTGGGAGAGGTTCTAAAGAAGTGAAATCTGAAGAATAGCAGAGAAGGTGAGAAAGGAAATAAACTGCTCTAGTCAGTGGAATTTCAAAAGGTCTAGTCTCTATTTCTTCAACAAATATGTGAGCCATGTTTATGTAAAGAAATAATGAAAATTGCTAGGAGAGTTTACAGTAGGGGCATTCATTAATCTAGTTGGAAAGGTTAGGAGGTTGAGGAAGTCATACTAAATGGATATCCAAAGGATGAGAAACTGAAGAAAAAAGAAAGGGAAACAAAGGGAATATCATGTCTAAAGGCATTTTGTCAGGAGGGAACATTGTAAGCGTGAGGGAATCAAAGGAGGCCATTGTGGCTGGAGCATAGATTACAGGGAGAGAGTACTACAGTATCAAGCTGGAGGACAGATTTTGCAGGGTTTCGTTGGCCATATTGAGAACCTTAACCCTGAGGGTATGGGCCCCCGACACCCTTTTAACTCAGTACTGAAGTCACTCCTGAGGCTCACCCTTAAGCCAAAGATTAGACGGGCCCATAAAACAAAATGAGACTAAATGGGGACACCAACCCAGGAGCAAGGACAAGAAGGCAGGAAGGGACAGGAAAACTGGCAATGGGAAACCCAAGGTCGAGAAGAGGAGAGGGTTGACATATCATGGGATTGGCAACCAATGTCACAAAATGATATGTGTATTAATTGCTTAATGAGAAACTAATTTGCTCTGTAAACCATCTAAAGCACAATTTAAAAACAAAAAAAAGAACGTTAGTCTTTGATAAGACGGAGGTTCCCAAACTGTGGAAAATTCCACTACCTCAAGCAGGTTGCTTGGCATGCCCTGTAGCTTTACATTAGAATCCTGGTTCCTTTGCTTGGCATGCCCTGTAACTTTCCATTAAAATCCTGGTTCACTTCTCGACTGCTGCCCAAAACTAGAGGAAATTGGCAGAAACCAGTTTAGGCGCCATGTTAACATTCAGGATAACCTTTTAGCTCGTTAAATACCTGATACATAGTAACTTCCCCACCTCTAGGTAGAGTTTAACTGCCATTTTCTGAACATGCGATGAATGAAGTTATATGTAAACCCCTTTGCGCCTGCAGAATATGATTAAGAATGTTGCTGATGTAAGTTGCATGAACTTCCTGCCTGTAAACCCCTTAAAAGTAACCTTCCCCTTCGCCCTCACTGAGCAGTCTTGGTGGCAGCAGCACCAACTGTTTCCTTTCTTTGCACAATGAAGTAAAGGTGCCTTTCCACTCTCCCACCTCGGTGTCTTGTTTGTTAGCTGAGATGAGTTGCACCAAGCAGAACCTGGGGTTTCTACTGGGCAACATTGAGAGCAAAGGGGAGAGAGGGGGTTTTGACATGATCAGATCTGTGTTTTGAAAAGATCATTCCCACTGCAGTGAGGAGAAAACAAGCAGGCCATCATTGGACCAATTAGGAGCTATGCATTAAGGATAGTGTTAGTAGTTGAAATGAATTGATGTAGGGACAAAGGAGATGGAGACAAGTGGAAAAAATGAAACAATTTAGAAAGTAAAATGGGGAGGTCTTTGTGATTGATTTAGATATGATGCAGTGGGATAGGGATTGAAGGAGATTGACAAATCATGACTGGCTTGCCCAATGGGTGGTATCACTGAGATGTGGGAACACTGGAAGAAAGGCAGGTTTTGGAGAAGATCTAATTTCAATTTGAACATAAGTTTAAGATGTTTGTGTGACTTGAAGGGGAGATGTCAGGTTAAGAGTTTGGACTTAAGGATCTGCAGCATTGAGAAGTCTGGGCTGGAAAAAAAATAGTTTGCAGTTTATAATCTGTCCTTTTCTGAAAGATACTTAATTTTCAAAACGCAAATATCACTTTTTTTAATTTTAGAGAAAAAACTCACATTGCAAAAAAACAGAAAATAAAAAGTGGAAATCTTTAGAGCAGATTCCCAGACTTCTTGAGAACACCTGGAACCCTTGTTAGAAATCAAAATTCTCAGGCCCCTCCCCTGGAGATTCTGACTCCATACATCTGGTACGGGGCCTAGAAGTTCAGATTTTTAACAAGTGCCACTGGTGATTGTTTTCATCAGGGAGTTTCACTGGGCAGCCTCCAGTGTCAGAAGCTGTTTAAGTTGTCACCTGAGGTGTGTATTAAAATGAAATTCTGATCCCTGCAGACTAAAATCTCTAGGGATAGAAAGGAGAAATGGAGTGAGGAAGAAGGTACCACACCAGGTAGTCCAAGACTTCACCCTCCATCTTTGGCAGGGATATCCTAGGCTCTCCACCAGGCAGTTCAGATAAAAAGGCATCCTTTGCTGGATAATGCATATGTAGGCAGCAGGTAACAACAGTGATATCAGCTTTCCTGGCTCCTAGCCCAGGTCTCCTGCCTTGCCCTCTGAATGATGCTCAATCCACTCAGATGTTCTCTTTTTCTACCTGCTCCTATCAAGGCCCACGTTTCCCTTCCCGACCCCCCAGTCTTCTTCAGTGTTATGCTCCAACACCATCTTTCTACTCTTCCGGTTTGGGAGTTTTTTAGCTTACCTCCCTGGAAGTAGGATCAAATGCTATGTTCCACTCCTTTTAGCAAGGCTGTTTTATTCTTTTTTTTTAAATTTTTTTAATTGTACTTTATGCGAAGATTTACAGAATAAAATAGTTTCTCATTAAACAGTCAGTACACATACTGTTTTATGACATTGGTTAACAACCCCACAACATGTCAACACTCTCCCTTCTTGACTTTGGAGGACCTTTTTTTCTTTT